TGAAGAACAATCCAGATCAGAACCTACGGAAGAAGCCTAGAATAGATTTGAGTGGGCAAGTGAGCAGAGCTGAGGCCACGACACTCTCCCCACAGGCCCAATGCTGCGTGAAGTAACAGGGGCACTTGGGCAGAGTGCTCGCCAAATCACACATGAAAATTCCATGCTTGAGTTACTTAACAAACCCTCCTCTCCTCAGATGAGACATAGCAAGTATTCTTAAGGTAAAACTAGGTGGTGAGAATCATTTAAAAATACTGATCAGCAGTGGTCCAAAGAGACTCTTTCTAGTTGTTTGATAAATGGAGTTTAAAAAAATCATCCCCTGCTAATCTGATAGGTCTGGGCACTCACGTAGCAGACTGCACAGGGGGATAAAATGTATAGCTGACTCCAGCAGCCAAGACACGGTGTTTTCCAAAACTGTCAGCAGTGAAGAGAAAAGAAGATGGGAAGAAGCTCTACAAAAGTCTGAATTTGGGTCCAGTGGCTTCCAATGTACCAGAAGTCTGGCAGGATCAATTAGGAAAGTAGCCAGCAGTTACTGCAATTTACATGGACAGCAAGTGACACCCAGTGACATCTTCTTCAATGACTACATGCAATCAGATCCCAGAGGTTAAAAAGAAAAACGAAGCCTGGATAGAGGGTGTTGTTCATGATGAGAGAAGTAAGCAGACAGAATGCATCCACACAGGTATGAGTCAGAAACCAGGGGTCAGGAAGGAGAAACAAGGACTCCAGACTCAAAGACTGGGCTCCAAAGGTTGAATGACTGTGAGAATCTTAAGAGACAGAAACTTACTACAGCTTCCAGCAACAAAAAAGAGTAGTTAGTAAGGAAAGATCTGGGAATTGGGGACTTCCTGATTGGGTGACCAAAGGTACTGGTTTGTCTGGGACTCCCTGAGTTTTAGCACTCCAAATCCTACACCCAGGAAACCTCACAGACCTGGGAAAGCATGGACGGGAGATGACCACATTGTTTTAGAATCCTGGGCCAAGACCAGACGTTTTCTGAGTAAGAGCAGGACTGTTATTAAAAAGACTATAGGGCCGGTCGAGTGGTGCGTTGGTTAAGAGTTGGCTTGGGGCAGGCTCTGAGCAGCAGGGCCGCTGGTTCGGATCCCACATGGGCCAGTGATGCTGCGCCCTCTACAGCTAAGATGGTGAACAACAGCTCGACCTGGAGCTGGGCTGCTGTGAGTCGCCGGCAATGGCATAGGCTGCAGTGGGGCTGGCCGGCAGCGGGCGTGAGCT